TAGTATCCTTAGCTTGTGATTCATGGGTTTCCTGGTTTTGGGCATATGTATTAGCTTTTTTGAGAGTTAAACATTTTGTATGCCGGGCGGCACTTTTAAACATTGTTTTATTACTCTATTTCTATTTTAAATTGTTTTCTTCAGCTAATTTGTTTATCTTCCGCATTTTAGGCTTACCTAGTCGTAGAGATTAGGTACTGTCACGATGGTTCATGGAGGGCGATCCAGGGTCGTGACAGAATCAATGATCAAAATCCTTCTTTTAACTTTGAAACCTTCAACTTCACCGAGCACGTACGAATCTCACTTAGACATTCCGGATCACAGTCAAAATGATCCTATCCAAGGTCCTCAAACACCTCATGGAGTCCGAGAAGACAAAAGTCCACTCTAAGTCGAATGTGGCTAATTCAAAATCTTCAAAATGCAAAATTCCATAAGAGTTGAATTGCTCCCGGAACATCTTATACTAAATCATAACATTAGTTCAAGTTTGAAATTATCTTATAAACCTATAAGAACCTTCAAATCCCGATTCCGGGGTCGTTTACTCAAAAGTTAAATGTGGATCAACTCTTCCAAATTAAGAATTATTCTTTCAAATCAACTCTAAGCTTCTCGAAAATCAAACCCAACTACACATGCAAATCACGATACATAAGGTAAAGCTACTCAAGGTCACAAATCGCCGAACGACATGCTAGGGCTAAAAACGACCGATCGAGTCATTGCAGTGATGAATACCACCAAGGAGGAAGTGGTTGAGTTCGCTTCTTATTAGCTGGAAGATATGGCCTACACCTGGTATGTGACATAGGATAGAGATAGAGAGGAGAGAATGCTCATTTTTCTACATGGGATGAGTTCTCCAAGGGATTCATAGAATAGTTCTTTTTCGATGCGGATAGGTATTTCCCTTGCCGCTCAGTTCGAGCAGTTACAACAGGGTTGTATGATTGTCAGAGGGTAAAGTCACGAGTTCACTCTCTTGTCAAAGTATGCTCCCCACATTATTTCTAACGAGATCTCTAGAGTTTGGAGGTTTGTTGACGGGTTGGAATGTCATATCAAATCACGTGCATCTGCTGCTACTATGCACCCATGCTATTTCTTTTCCATTGTTAGCCAAGAAGAGAGGTTGGAACTCTAGAATAATAAAAGAATGCAGATTGGAATCAGAACAAGAAGGCTCGTATGGTGGGTTGTTATGGCAATGCTTTTGGTGGAAGCAATAGAAGGGGGCAGTTAAGACCGACTTAATCCATGGTACAATCTGTTGCTAGCGATTGATTAAAGAGTCAGGAACAGAGTTAGGGGGGCTATTCTAGGCACGCTCAGAGTATTATGCCTCTGGCATAGTCTTCACAGAGTCAAACTACTTTTGGCAGTTATGGCAAGGTTCATCTGGGGCAATGTCATAAAGATGATCGCACTTGCCATTACTGCGGCATCAAGGGTCATGTTAAGAGAGATTACCTCAAGTTGTAGAGAGAGTGATATATAGTCTTTCAATATAGCTAGGTGGATCCACAACTACTACAACTGCACCTCCCCCAGTTCATGGCACTACTATCTAGACTAGACGAGTTGCAGGCGGTGGCGTGCTTTTACTTCAGGTAGATAGACCCGGCTCTATGGACTAGAAGCTGAGATAGTTGCAGGTAACGCCGTGATGACATGTATACTTAATGCTTTCGCACTTGATGTTTATGTTCTTATTGATCGCCAGATCCACATTTCCCTATGTCACTCCATCTTTTGCTTGGGATTCTGGGATAGTGATAGAATAGTTACATGAACCTTTCTCTATGTCTACTCCGACTAGCGATTATGTTCTTGCTTTCCGCACCTATAGGGGTTGTATGATTGTAGCCTAGGATATGGAGACTATGTTAGGCCTTATCGAGCTAGAGATGGTTGACTTTAATGTGATCATGGTGACGGATTGGTTATCTAAGTGCCATGCCACTCTTGATTGTCGTCCTAAGATAGTCATGATTGAATTTCTGAATGAACCGATTCGTGAACTGAAAGTGATCACAATGGGCGATTCTATCATTTGGTGATGGTTATAAACACGAATGCAGAGGCACCAACTCTTAAATCAATGCCAATTGTGAATGGGATTTTGGAGGTCTTCCTGGAAGTGTTTCATTGCATACCACCGGATCGAGTTATCGATTTTGGGACAGATATGTTTCCAAGCACTAAAACAATACCTATTTCACATTATGGTATGGCTCCGGTGGAGTTGCATGAGTTAAAACCACGGTTGAAAGACCTACTTGGAAAAAGGTTTTATTCGACTAAGTACTCACTGGATGCACAAGTACTATTTGTCAGGAAGAAGGACGATTCTTTTTAAATGTGCATTGACTACCGTCAACTCAACAAAGTGACTTACCAGTAAAAATAAATATCCATTGTTATAGATAGATGATTTATTCGGCCAGTTACAATATGCTTAATATTTTTCAAAAATTAGAGGGTGTTTGTTAAGTTTATAAGCCGGTGAAACTAGCATATAAGCACTTTTTGGCTTATTTACGCGTTTGGCAAATATCCAAAGGGTTTATAAGTCAAGTGCTTATAAGCCAAAATAAGCCATAAGCTATAAGCTTGTCATACACAACTTATGACTTTTTAGCTTATAAGAGTTTTTAGTTTGACCAAAATTTTTATTATTTTGTCCATGATATTATTTTATAATGAGATAAAGGTCTTAACTCTATTCTTTACTTCCCTGTCATCTTTTCTGGGCTTCTTTCCCAGAAACATTATCCACCATCGACAGGAACAACAAAAAGCAATTTACCGTCAATATTAAATCAATCAAATTGATTTGAGTTAGAAAAGTACTATTTTTGTAAATCGACTTTCTTCGTCTCTTTGAAACATTGTTGTTTTGCATCATTCAAAGTTTCATTGTGAAATATGAACTAAATTATCCATTTGTAATGAACAACGATGCTGTAATAATCATGTCATTATTGTACAAGCTCACTATTGCTAAAATAATATATATATATATATATATANGTAAATCCATAAGTTAATTTATACTTCGATTAATTTAGAATCAAAAATCTTGTATAATTACGTATATATTTATTAGTATAAATAGTTTTAAGGGGCATTTAAATCATTACATCGCAAGAAATGCTTATCAGCACCTTTTTTCCAAATACTTAAATACTTATTAATAATTTCAGGACTTAAATCAAAATACGTATCTGCTTATTTATTAAATCAATTCGCTATTTAAAAGCGCTTTTCGGCACTTGATTCTTATAAGCTATTTTGAATCATCTATGCCAACGAGCTCTAAGTAGGAAACTATAACTACAGTTGATAATTCATGTGGGTACTTCTTATTTTTTTTATTCTTAATTATAGAGTTATAACCGATCACAGAATTACAACTAATTAATTTATATAATTTAATTATCTTTGTAGGAAAAAAAGATTTTTTTATTGGAAAAATTATGTTTGATTCTCTGTTTAATAGTATTATGTTCATTATCCTTTAATCAAACACTCTTTCTATAAAATCGTGTGTACTAAAATTGTAAATATACATTCTAATAAATACTTCCTCCGTTCACTTCTACTTGTCCATAATAAATTTTGCATGCTCCTTGAGAAATAATAAATAAAATACATATTTTACCATAATAATCATAATAATGATAGCATTTTAAGAAGTGTAGGAAAAAGAATTGGGGAATGAATAGTTAATAATACGGGTAAAACATGAAAAAATATATATATAATTTTCGCTTTATTTGATAAACTGGACAAGTAAAAGTGAAAATATATTTTTTATATAGTGGACAAGTAAAAGTGAATAGAAGGATCATTATAAATTATCTCAACATCTACAATTAATATACTGTTTATCTCAATATCAAATTCTAGAAATACATTCAAAATAACACTTAATAATTGCACGCCAGGTATACAATGCTTGATACTCCTGCACCGCGCTTAGCCTTAGAATAGTAATAACTAAAAGTACGGGAAATAAAAGAAATTGATATACCTTCCCTCCATATTTTAAATGTTATAACAAGCTTAATTCACATAATTTGATTCTTTAATTTTCTGTTTCTTAAATGCTGCGCTACTTTATAATTTGACTATGATAAGGATACTTTTGTCCCATAAAGTAATTTGGCTACGGCTGATCACCACTTTAGAGTTGTAGTTCTTTTTGTGGAAATACTTTGTAAAATTCATAAATCGCATAGCTGTAGTTATTTTTATGCTTAAATATATAATGTTCATGGTGTGAGAAAAGGATAAGCACAGAGAGATGGCATACAATCAAATAGTTCAAATTTGAAAATCCGATGTACTAATCTCAAAATCAGAATGATCATTTTTAAAAGGAAAAGTGATTAATGAATGTGGTAACCATATCGTAACATTTACATATAGCGGAATACTTCCACTCCAGTTTTGCTCCAAATATTTAAGGGATCAACAGTTTCACTTCTAATAAATTTGATGTAATTATATACAGCTAGAATTTAATTAAAATGCAAGATAGAGTATCCGATCTGAATAGGAATTCCTTGTAGAGACAGGCAATGACGCAGCTGTACATGTATCTTAGGATTATGCACTAGCTTATTTTGGTGAAAGATTTATCCATATAAAATGCTTCATTTCAAACTCCAAAAAGAACTGAGTAAACGTGTGAGTATAAGATAGTTAATCTCTATATTACCATTTATGTACAATAACACCGGCAATTAAATTAAAGCAAGATTCGAGTTTTTGCAATAACTTAATGAAGTTATTATTTCTAGCAAAGTTGATATGATCCTATGTAGAACCCCATTAACTAGGAGTTGGTAGTTTGAATTTGTAACTTGTAACGCCATGCAATGATTAACTTCCCATATTTGGAGGATTTTGTATGTTACACCTTGTCTATTTAAAGATCTTTTCTCTTCATTCTTTCATCAAGTACCAAGAACATAAGTATAGAGACAATGGATACCTTTTCAATGAAAAAACCATGCTCTTCTGAGGCCTCTAGCATCTCTGCTGCCTCTGAGGAAATCGACACAAACACGAAGAAGATGAAAGGTAAGGTTATGGATTTAGGATCTGAATTAAAGACACATGAATTATCATCTGCTGGTGTACTTCTTGATCTTAAAGTCCATAATAGTGCCTCAAATCTTGAACTCAATCTTTTCAATTCAACTTCTAGCATGAAAAATTCGGCTCCTGCTAGTGAGTCTTCTAACGAGGCAATGCCTAATAAGCAAAGGCGTTCCTCGGAAAGTAGGGTTTTCTCTTGCAGCTTCTGTAAGAGAGAATTCTCCACTTCTCAAGCCCTAGGAGGACATCAAAATGCTCATAAACAAGAGAGAGCTTTGGCTAAAAGGCGAAACGGACTTGTTGATGTTGTTTCTCCTTTTGGCCCTCCCAATTATCACCCTTACTATAATCCCTACTCAAGTTACACCACACATTTGCCATTTCATGGTACTTTTACTAGTCGATCATCCCTTGGTGTTCAAGGTGATTCCTCCACTATTCATAAGCCTTCTCCCTACAATCCATGGTCGGTTTTTTCGGGCTACAATTATCGATTTAACCCCGAAAAGTGGTCATCATCAGGCTCATCAGTTCTTAGGACAGAAAATCTTGGAATTGGAAGTGCTCCTTTGGAGAATTCCCTCAAGTTTGAGAACAAAAATAGTGCAAAGGGTTTCTGTTTAAGGGATTCACCGGTTAAGATTGACAATAATCGTGGTGGAAATAATAAAAGGAAGGTGGGATTTGGAGAGGAAGATGCAGAAGAGAATGAAGAAGACTCAGAGATTGATCTGAATCTAAAGCTTTAATTTAATTTGTTGCATTGAATTATTTTTCTATTTCATATGTAGTTTTTATTTTTTGCATTGCTTTTATTAGACGTGTGATATCTTTTTGTTCTCGCGTTCTTTTACTTTTATTTCAATCCATTGAATCATTGTCTTTACCTTTTGCTCCTTTTATGGAAATTTCAAGCAGTTTAATGTTAGAACAAAGAGATGTGTCTTCAGAATATTACTTAATTATATTATAGATTATTTTCTTTAAGATCAATTAAAATATGTCGGATAAACGTACCAACCCCGACTACAAATAGGTGTGCAAAAAGAACAAAATATTTCGGACACATTTTAATTTGTGTCTGTTTTCGTTACTACCCTTTTATAAGCCTAATGTCACGTCCTTAGTCGTTAAATAAGTACATGTGCGGTACTTGACAATTTGCTCACGATCTTGCACAACTTGCTCACATTCTTGCTATGCCAAGTCAGGCTTACTACACTCAAGACCGCTAAAAGAATGATAGAAAGAACACAAGAGAATTATTAAGGGAAACTTTAAATTAGATAGAACTTGAATTATTTTCTTGGCGAATTACAAATGAATGGCCCCCTTTATATACTAGTCTCCTAGGGCTAGTTGACTTTCCTAGCAAATCTATAGGGATCTAGGGTCTTCCTAAAAAATGTTCATACTTTTCTAGAATCATCTCACAAATACTAGCATTCCTCCTATGTAAGCTTCCACATGGCATTAATATATGACAAATGGCGCCTATGTGGCATGATAACAGTAAGGATCATCACACTCTCCCCAATTAAATGTTGCGACGACCACGGCGCAATGCTGCTGCATAAACTCTCGGATCTTAGTTATCTTTGAATTATCATAAATCTTCATATCGTTCCCGCGTGGCCTCCTTTGAGATTCCCCCTTCCAATGGACGAGGAACATAATGGTGTCTTTCTGCCCTTGTTTTTCCTTGTCCTGGTAATCCATGATAGCCTCAATCTCTCGATCATGCGAGGAGATAATAGTAATAGGCGCTCGACTTGATTGGCCCCTACTCGGATCATCGTTGTCTTCGTGATATGGCTTAAGCATGCTGGCATAGAAAACAAGATAGATTTTAAGATACGATGCCATGTCAAGCTTGTATGCATGAGATATTACTTAACTTGGCGATGTTCTTAAATGGCCGCTCATACTTGCGAATCAGATTCGGATGCATGCCTCGTAGTGCCTTGAACTGTCTCGAGTTAAACTTCACCTTGACCATGTCCCCAACTCTATAGTCTATGGGACGCCACTCACGGTCCGCAAACTTTTTCATCACCTTAGCTGCCCTATACAAGTAGGACTTAGTAGTGTCAAGCTGCTCCTCCCATCCTTTGGCCATATGATAAGCCCCCAAGCACTTTCCCTTGAATGCAGCTGGTAATGAATGTGGAGTTTGTGGTTGTTGGCCTATGGCTAGCTCAAATGGTATCTGCCCCGTGGACTCACTTCGCTGCAAGCTATATAAGAATTGAGTGATGTCTAGGAGCCTTGCCCAATCTTTTTGATGCGCGCTCACATAATGCCTCAAGTAGCATTTTAGTAAGGCATTGACTCGTTCTGTTTGTCCATCTGTCTGTGGGTGGAAACTAGTGGAAAAGTGCAGTTCCATGCCAAGTATGTCGAATAACTCTCTCCAAACGTTTCCAGTAAAACAGAGGTCTTGATCACTAATGATATGCCTTGGTAAGCCCAATACTTCGCCACATTCTTAAAGAATAGCTTGGCGGCTTCCTTGGTTGTGTAACCCAGTAAGGCGGGCATGAAGGTGGCATATTTAGAAAATCTATCTACGACCACTATAATAGTACCATAACCATCGGACTTCGGTAGGCAAGTGATAAAGTACACAATCATTCTCTTCATGGACGCTCTGCAATTGGTAGTGGCTCCAAAAGTCCTCTATGTTGTTGCTGCTAAACCTTGTCCTGCTGGCATACAAGACAAGTCTGCACATAACACTCTATGTCATCTTACATGCATGGCCAATAGTAGACTGACTCAACCAAGGCCCTAGTGCAACGTTGGCCTGGATGACTAGCCCACATTTTGTCATGACTCTCCCTTATGATCCACAATCTAATGTCTCCAAACGTAGGTACATAGACCCGCCGACCCTGGTAAGTAATATGCCGTCTTCGACCCAAAACATCTCATTTTGCCCTGTTGGCTAAATCAATAAGTTGTTTGGCTACTAGATCATGCTACATGCCTTCTTTTATAGCCTCGCGAATGTCCCAACTTGCTGAAGTGATGGAAGATAGCTCGACTTTCCGGCTCAAAGCATCGGCTACAACGTTACCTTTGCCAGGCTTATACTCCAGCATATAATCAAACTCGGCCAAGAAATCCTCCCACCTAGCCTTTTTCGTGTGAGCTTCTTCTGCGTTTGAAAGTAGCTAGTAGCCACATTGTCATTCTTGACCATGAACCTTGATCCAAGCAAATAATGTCTCCATGTATGAAGGCAATCCACAATGGCAGTTATTTCCTTCTCTTACACTGTGTAACGCCGCTCCATCTCATTTAACTTGTAGCTCTAAAATGCTATGCGATTTTTATCATGCATTAGAAGACTCCAATGGAAACGTCTTAGGCATCCGTATGCACCTCAAATGTCTTGGAAAATTCAGGTAACGCCAAGACTGTCTCCTCTATTACAACTACCTTAAGGTCATCAAATGCCTTTTGACAATGTTCCGTCCAAACCCATGGCTTGTTCTTCTTTAGCAACTCAATCAATAGTACGGCCTTTGCTGAGTAGCCAGTGATGAACTGACGATAGTAGTTAACAAGGCCAAGGAAGGATCTCAACTCGGTTACCTTTGTAGGTGCCTCCCACTCCTGGATAACACGTACCTTTGCCTCATCCATGTGTAGCTCGCCATTGCTAATAACATGGCCTACGAAGTGCACTTTTGATTGTGCAAACTCGCATTTCTCCCTCTTGATATAGAGCTCGTTCTCCCGCAAGATATGAAAAACCTTCCTTAAGTGCTCCATGTGATCCTCCAAGGTGTTATTGTAGATGACTATGTCGTCTAGGTAGACTACCACGAACTGATCAAGGTAGGTATAGAAAATCTTGTTCATAAGGGTGCAAAATGTGGTCGATGCATTGGTTAAGCCGAAGGGCATCACCAGCCACTCACAGGCTCCATATCTTGTCACACATGTCGTCTTTGGCTCATCCCCTTCTGCAATGCAAACCTGGTAGTAGCCTTTGCAAATATCCACATTGGTAAAGTACTTGTCTTGCTCAAGTCTATTGAACAAGTCAGCAATGAGTGGGATCGGGTACTTATTTTTCACTGTGACCGTTTTAAGTGCTCGGTAGTCTATGCACAAGCGTAGTTGTGGAATAATATTTGTGCGCCGAAAGGTGCCTTTGATGGGCGAATGTGACCAACATCCAGCAACAATTTCAATTGTTCCTGAGCTCCTCTAGCTCAGGAGGTGCCATATGAAATGGGGTGAATGCGGGTGGCTTAGCCCCTGGCTCCAACTCAATCTTGTGATCTACCATTCACTGAGGCGACAAGTTCTTAGGCAACTCGTCGGGTATTACGTCTTTGTTTTCCTCAAGAAACTCCTCTATTCAAGGCAGCATTGTCTCTGGAAAACTCTTGACTTCCTCTAGACTTGCAATGGTTTCCATGAACGTCGGCTACCCCTTCTTGATCCCCTTGACAACCTGCATAGCTAAGAGTTGTGCTTGGATCTGTCCATGTGGCATAGTCACTACAAGTACCATGCAAGCTCTTTCTCGCTCCATAACCAAGAGACGTTATAGGTAGGGGTCGATCAAAGTATGACAATGCGTAAAGAACTCTTTCCTCAGTATGATGTCAAAGATATCCATAGCGGTTATGGTAAAGTTTGTCCTGCCTTTACAAGTTCCCAATTTGACACCAACTCCATTAGCTACCCCACAAATATTTTGTACCCCGGCATTCGCGATCTTGATGCAAGAGTTGGTTGGACCAAGCTTCAATTCTAGTCTATTTACAGTAGCCTCAGTCACGAAATTATGAATTTCTCCAGTATCTACCATTACACGAGCGGGCTTGTTGTTGATGGTGAGATCCATATACTGATTGCCATTCTCGGTAGGTTGGATAGCTTGCTTTGTCATAGCACCACATAATCTGATCATATCCAACTGTGCGGTTCCCGAACTCTCTCCTTACGGCTTCTCCCTTCGTTCATGGACCATGGTGCTGAGGCTCTTTAGGTTGGGACAATTCCTGAAGTCGTGCGGCCCACCGCATATGCAGCATCCCTTCTTCTCGACTTGTGCCTCCTGTCACACCTCATTTTTACATACCCGAAGGTAGTATAAGGGAGTTTTTCCACTTTAAGTGACATTATTCAAAATGGAATTATTTTATTATCAGAGTCACCACTTGGAATTTTTTATTGGTGTCCCAAGTCACCGGTTTATTTTTAAATCCCGAATCGAGGAAATTCAACTTTCCTTTTGAAGTTTGCGAACTAGAAATTTTGAATAAGGAATTCTGTTAACCCGAGGGAAGGTGTTAGGCACCCCCGAATTCTGTGGTTCTAGCACGGTCGCTTAATCTATTATAACTGGCCTATTATCTGATTTTAGTACATGTTTTAGCCTATGGTAAACATTTAACTTATTAGCCGCTTTTAATTAATTTTAGGAAGATTCAACGTTATCTAAAACACGTCTTGAACCACGCCACATGAAATGCACCCACGGTCCACGACATATTTTATTTAACATTGTTGGGATTTGGATTTGGGTCACATGAAATGCACACCTGGTTTTAGGAAAGTAATATTTAAAATAGCGCGCCTAAAGCAACTACGCACTTTTAAATTTGCGAGGGCCATGAAAAATTCAACTAAATGGCCCGCCTTGATTTCTAAGGATTCAAATTAATTAAGTGAGGGCCATGCATAATGAAATTTTTACTTGGCACGACATGCCTTAATTTATTCTAACCAAAAAGGTTTCTATTAGCTCATGAGGGCCATAAATTATACATTTGGCTAATATGGCACACCTTAACCCATTTTAAAGAGTCTAGTTAATTAAGGAAAAACCTAAAGGAATTCAAAATACCTTCTATGCTTAAAGTTCGAACTTAATTATCTACCAATAGGCGTCTTATCAAACAAGCAATTACCTAAAGAGACATTACTTCCTCAACAACCAACAAACAAAGGAACTGGGCCAACGGAGCAAAATAGGCCCAAATGATACAAATTACATAATTTCAATTTTTGCAGGTCTCTTCAGACTTAGGCTCAAGATGAGCCCAAATCTTTCAGGATCCTTTGAATAGCGAGTACGAGACTCGACTTCGAATCCCTAAAGCACCCAAGCTGCGTTTGAAAAATCACAGGGTGCCGATGTGAACCTAAATTACTATCAACAAAACACCAATGTATATGCAATCGATTTTCAAATTAGCTTTTAACTACTTAATAGACAATTTCATGAGATTTTTAATAGTGACATGATTTTGAAAACAATTGAAAGTTCAACTTTGATAGCTATACAATATGCAACTTTAAATCTCAAGGCCTCAAGCTAACTTGAAGTAATGACATGGGAATTTAAACCTCAACTAAGTCTCATATTAACAGAACTTATAAGATTGACATTGAATAGCCATGACCTTAAAACAAATCAAGTCTAACCACATAGCATTCAGACAACATCAGACAATCCGATATTGGCCTAAAGGTTATTGTAAATACACCCAAAGCAATTCTTTCACCTAAACCAAATTCAAACAAAACTGATAACTGAAAAGAGAAACAAATCACTTGAAGTTTCAATCTCACTCTATCCATGATTAGTGTACTAGTCAAAACAGTTCAAGAGCTAAATATTACAGCTATTTTGAGATTAAAAGAAGAAGAAATGAGATTCAGACTACAAATAACATCAACTTTTCATATTTCTAAATCCAAACTTCATGCTACACTTAAGTGAAGTCCATGGTTCCAAAAATAGCTAGAAAATGCCAAAAGAAAACAAGAGAGTGGGGGAGTTATCAGCAGCAACAAGAGCAGCAATGGAACAGTGCTGGAATCAGCAAACTAAGCCCCAAAGAACCCATCTAAAATAGCAAATAAGTAGTAACCCAAACCAGCAATTCCAACCAAACTTTTGGATTCCCAAAATCAAACCATCTTCTACCCAAGTGCAAAATTTTGAGGTTTTCAGAAGTTCAAACTAATGAAGAGGATCAAAAATTCAAAACTGAGTAGGGTTTTGAGCAATTTCCACAAAGAAATGCAGGAAAATCAATGTTGTTTCAAGAGTTTTCAGCCGTTTCAGTGTTTTGCAGAATTTTTACCTCTTAATTTCTAACTTGAGCTTGAAGAAAAGGTGCCTTTATAGGCAAGGTTTTAGGGCAGCATAAAAGAATTCAGATTTGTACTTCTACCCTTTTGATATTTTCATTCTTGCTTAGATATCCCTAAGTTAAAAAAATGGGTTTTCACATTAATCCCCACCCCATCTTCCAGGAAGCTTCCTCAATCAGTTATTCAGAGATTCTCTACCTAGACTTCCTAATTTACCCTTCAATACCCCGGTTATCACCCCTAAAGCCAGATAGAATATGG